CCCACCACCCTTCTCGGTATCAAAGAGACCTGCATTCCCAAGCACACTAATCACTGGGTTCAGGCTGTACTATCAATATGCCCTGTGGAAAAACCTCTAAACATATGGGTTGAAAAGTTAGTACTGTTAGAAACCAGGCATGTGTAGCAGCAGCTGTCTTATTTGGCATAGCTTTTGTCAAGTTTTCTGGCACAAATTCCACAACCACAGACTTCTAATGGCCACTAGTATCAATCAACATGCTTGGACTAATTCTGAACATAGTAGTTTCACATTTCCAGAAGTTTCACATTTTAACAACTATTTTAAGTCAATAAAGGCTGATCTAATATACAAGAACATGCTCACCGCTAGCCCAGTGGCATGGCAGCTTGCCTACTTTGCTGCCAGCTAAGATACCAGGAAAAGAACAGTAGAAACTAAATCCACTTTAAGGACAGAACACATTCAGTTGGTCAGGGAGAATGCCAACTACAGTATCATGTTTAATTCTTAAACACTAATGACTGATTCATGGCAACAACCCCAAAGGGAAATACTCACCTGCTATTTTAGCAGTACATGAAGCATATTTTCAGGGGATTTTTTTAACACTATCTGCAAGAACTCTGTTTTGTAACTATGCTATTAATAAATCTTAGCATTTCAAACTGAAAATTTACACCCCACCCTTCCTAATTTCTTTTGAAGTAGAGTGGAATGGAAATCTTATTTGGGATGAAATAAGTAATAAGACAAGGAATACAAAAAGGAAAAAGTTATAATATGCTTCAGTTGAGGCAGTGACAGGCACAGAACTACAGAACTACCCCTTGACTATAGAGATTTGCCTGATATTCAGCCATATTGATATTGCAACCATGCCTGGACACATGTGTGAGTTCCACCTCCAGCAAGAAAGAAGTCAGTTTGAAAATATTCTAAAATTCCTTTTACTTTATTTTCTTCCTCAGTACATTTTCAATACTGCTAATGCCTGAGCTATTGGCTGTCATCTCCACATAATCTGTTTCATAAAAGACAGGAAGAAAATCTATTCTCTGGTGGATTGCCCAGAGACACTACAAGTGATACCTTGTACGAAGCTTAACACTTGAACATGTAACACTTGGTATTGCTATGATTACAGTACAGAAACCTGCAGCTCTTGACGAACAATGCATAAAACAGTTGGAAAAACCTCAACCACTCTAATTTTAGGTACAAAATAAAATTAAATAATTTTCAATTTCATTCTAAACATCTAGAGTTTGTAAGAATAATGCAGATACTGGACAAGGAATGCCTGAGTAGTCTTAACCTTAAATACCTTGAAGTTAGTGAGATCAATAACGAAGAATTTGAAAGCAGATGTGCCCCACAGAATTATCCCTTTGCTAACCACACAAATTTCAGCCCGTGGGGCAGAGTTTATAATGTTTATAAAGTGATCTCAGACAGGTGAGAAAATATATGAAGAAAACAGGTCAGAAAAAAATATCAGTTACATGCACACATTGAGTATAGATATTAATCCTCAAAGATTTTTATTAAGAAAGGATAATCTTAAGCATCTGATACAAATGCCTACATGTAAATCCTGGACCTATTGCAGTTGAGACACTTCTGCTGCTGACCACTGTGAAACAACTATTTCAGCTATGGCATCTAAACCCCTTATAATTCACCATCCAAAAATCTACCTTTTAAAACTGGAATTACCAGGATAAACGCTTTCAAGTAAATTCTGTTCTAATCCTGACAGTGTTTGAATTGGACATCTGGAAAAAATCTTTTAGCTACGTAGATATTGCGACATTGGAACAGGTTACTCAGGTTGCAGAATCTCCATCCCTGGAGGTTTTCAAGACTTGGCTGACTGATTTAGTATTGGCTGATCCTATCTTGAGCAGCAAGCTCAAGGACAACTAAATGACCTCTGAAGGTCCCTTACAACCAACATTTCTGTGATTCCATGAAGGCAGGCATGTGACAGAAGCAGAGCTTCCAAAATATTATGAGAAATGACAATGCATACAGACAGAGCTGTTGCAGAGAAATCACCAGACAGGAAATCTATCAACCAGTGTGTCTCATCTGTATTGCACAGAAAGACACTTGTCTGAAATAGTAAACAGAACCAGCAAGCTATACAACTTCTAGCCTTGTGTCTGGGGCAAGTGCTGAACTCCAGCAAAATCAGATGTTGAGACATTTCTCTCGCTCTTGCAGGAAAAAAATGGGGATTCTTCTACTGCAAGAAAAATAAGTGTTTGTACCAGTTTACGCCGAAAAATTAAGATGAAAACGTAATTTGGAATACTTTTCAGCATTGTAAATTAACACACTACGTTGAAGAATATTCTAATGAAAAGATATTGTTTACGTAAGTTTGCTTTATTACTTTGCTTTCTATATTTCACTCGGCACTCTCATTTTTATTAGAGAACATGAAGCACATCACAAAACCTAAAAACTGGGGCAGAGACATAATACTGTCTTGAGAAGCTACTTCCAGGGAAATAAAGACAACATTATTAATTGCTTTGTTAAACAGATTTTTAAAAATAGCAAATTCATTGTCATTTTTTAATTGCACAGTTCCTCTCAGTGCAGTGCATCAAACAAACAAACTATATTTTAGAACTTAGCTAAATCTAAGGATAAAAAGCTCTAACCACACTTGATACTCAGCTCTGGGAGATTGAGGTGGAAGTCCAACATTTCTTCCAAATGAATCCTGTGCTACTGACAAGGATCCCCATCTTTGAGCTATGATGCTCAGATTCACTTTCCGAGCTAGCTCCATTTTGGGAATATAATAAATTTCAGCTAAGTAACAATTAGCACTCCCAAGTCTTAGGCTTCTCCCCACCCCCCCCTCCCCCCCTTTAAGGTTTTTTCCTTTCTGAACAGGAAGCATCTTCTAGGGCTGTGTTGGTTGTATGCATGTTCTAGTAAGAGAAAACACACAGCAGCTTTTTCCAGCCCAGTTTGAAAACAGGTGAAGGAGCAATTTAGCAAGGATTTAGTGTACTAATTTTATTAAACAGATGGGTAAAACAAAAGGAGCAACAAAGGTGAAATGTTTCCATCACACCCTGTATACGAGATTAATGTTCTGTCTGTGACCAGGACAGATGTACATAGTCAGACACCGGTCTGAGTAAGATGAATTGAAAGAGAAACATATTGTACAAAGCCTTGCTACCTGAAATGGAAATTTCCTTGAAACAGAGCACACCTGCTACTGTCATGACAATTATCTGTTAAGGTTAAGGCAGCCACTGCCTCCCAAAATGAACTCATTATTCAGGGAAACTCATTTTGCTGTGAAACACGCAAGCTATCAGCTCAGAAGCATTTTATCTGTAAAGACAGTAGAATCTAAAATAAATAGGTATTTGTTGGTGTTGAGAAATACCCAAGACCTGAAAAGGTATGGAAGAATAAATGTTAATTAGGGATCTCAAGAAAGATTCTAGCAGAAGCAGAAAGATACATGAGAGTTTTATTACACAAAAAAGTAAGTGTAAATTTTCTTCTTACATCAACCCTGTATTTTCATGCTTGTTTCAAAGCAAATCTTGGTAGAGGTGGAGCACACAAAGGAAGAGTTTTTTCAGATGACTCTGAAGAACAGGTGATCTGAAATTCCTACTGCAATCTGCAGAATCTAGATACCCCTGCAATACTGTTGCTGACTGCTGCACCTTTTGAAAGCAGGAAAAGGCAAGCCCACATATACCATCTTTGATCCTGGTGCAGCTTTGTCCTGGTTCAGCTAGGATAGGGTTAAGTTTTCTCTCAAGCAGAGGGAAGGGATCTCCAGCCGGGTTATTCATACCATGCTGATGTCAGGTCCAGCGAGGCAGCGCCAGAACCTTTTCCTTTGTGGCTTTGGTCGCAGAGAGTACGCGTGGTGGGCTAGCTGTATCCTCGCGGTATTTCTGGGTATATTTTAACCTGGGGTTTGTGCCCTACTTGTGTCCGAGGGTGGAGGACACAATGTGGTCTCCGGTCCCGGCAGGGCTTAAAACTATCACAGCCTTGTTGCTTAATTCAGTCTCAACTCATAATGCAGAAGTACTGAAAAAAATACTAATAAAATTGAGTCTTTCTGCCAAAAGGATGACTGATTTCCTCCATCAGCTCTAGTTACTCTGATCATTTTACAAGGCAGTATCACTGGTTTGACTGGATTTGAGACTAACCACAAAAATTCTGTGCTCAGAAGATTTATCTTCCCATCCTAAAAGAATACTTTAATTTTTTCCAGTACCTCAGCAGTTGTAACTAAATATTGAATTGGAGAAAAAAAGAACATTCTCTAATTGCATTAGTGAAAAAGACATAGATAAGAGATATACCTCTTATTTTGACAAACAGCTGCTATTTATCCCCTTTGACTAATGCACTTCATTTAGTATTCCATAAATCAAGGATTTGAAAGTATTTCTCTTCAGCTAACAGTATGAAGTAAGGCTACAGTACTGATATCTTTAAACAGTGTTAAGAAATGAGACAACTCCCAGAAAAAGTAACTGCAGTTTAATCCAGGCTGTGGAGCTGTGCACTTGTAACTGCCTCTGTTTTCTGTTAAATGGAATGAGAAGCTTCAGTTCTGGTCTCCAGGTGCCCACATTCTAAAAATTCTTCTTGATCTTGCACCAGTAAGCTCTCTTCTTGAAAGTTCAAGCTCACATCACATCAGAAGTGAGGAGGAAGAAAACACTGAAATTCTCCTTATGTGCTACATAGACTGTGTGAATTAAAAGAATCCTAAGCAAAATTGTGATCCTAGGCACAACTCATAACAAACCAGGTCCATCTCACTAGCATTCCATTCACTGCAGATTCCTACCAATAGCTGAGGCAGAATGCAAAAAGCTGAAGAAACAAGCAGATAAATTAATGCTTTATTAAGGGTTATATTCTACTGTTAGTCTTCTACTCCTCTGGCTCATGTTTTAAGTTAATTTTACAGAAGCTTTTGCAAAATTAACATCATAGATACTTACATTTGATGCTTCTCAACCTACTTTTGGGCACTGAACAGTCTACAGCTGCTGAAAATAAGAAAGAAATCAATGTGAGTGATTCAATATTTACTTAGTATTTGTGGTGGCTAGAAAAAAGTAGCAATAGAACAACACATAACAAAGACTAATTTAAATAGAACACAGCAATTTTTCTCCATTTTAAAATACGCTAGTTACTGTGTATTTATTAGATTGATATTAATACAGATAATTTTCAAGATAAAGATAATTAAGTAAAATATGCATTTGAAGAAAGAATCATCATTTAAATGAAGATTCCTTACAAAAGGTTTCTACACACTTTGTGCTGAGGGCACTTAACTGCACACCTGAGGATACTGAGTATGTTACATAGCAGAGAGATGATGATGTATTTGTGAGCATGGACTGTCAAATCTGAAGCCCCAATGTACTTCTCTTTAAAGCAGACATTAAGAAAAGGAGGAATTATGACAAGAATCAGCAGAACCACCTCCAAAAAACCTATTTCTGAAGATACTTAGAAAAAGAGTGTACAGTGTTTTGGGAGGTGTTCAAAAAACATTTCTTTTGTAACTCACATCCTGCAAACTTTTATACATTTAATTTAAATATTCAGGACATCCTGCCAACCCTCGGCATTAATATCTCTAGGACTGAGAGCCCCAAGACAAGTATGTGACATGAAGAATGAAAATAGGCTATGAACTGTGAACAGACAACAACTTTTCTTAGCTCTGTGCACGATATTAACTTTTTAAAACACAGTACTTTATACTCCTTATATGACCTTAAAAAAATAACTTCGGTTGTAATACAGTTTCTTTTCAGTTAAAGGACCGACAACAGGGTACTGTCAGTTCACACTGGAGTAAACACACATTTCTAAATCTGAAAAAATTTTGATCAGGATCTCACCATAATTAAGAAACATGCAAACATGTACAAGTTCAACAGGTTTTTAAGTTCCAGATTTCATTATATTTGTCTTTTGATAGACATAAGTACTTTAGATATTATATAAGTACCTTCTAAAATTAAACTGTGAAAAAATCCTATACCTATTTAGTGCTCAATTGTACTGATTAGTAACACAATTTTCTCATTTGCAAACACATGGTGCAATTTTCAAAGTCCTTAAAACTACCTAGTGCCATTGACTGAACTATAAACAAAAGACAATGAACATTTTAAAATTAAAAAAAAAAATTAAAAGACAAGACACAGTGGTCTGAGTTTAACTGAAAATGTTCTGCATTCATTCCTAAAACAAATTCTGTATGATTGCTGTTGTGACTTTCTCCATAATTTTCAGTTCAGCATATTATTTCATTATTCATTATTTCATCAAAAGCAGAATGAAGAGAATACAGCACAAAGTACCCTAAAATTAAAGTAGTATCTTTGGTAGCACTTAAGGAAAATGTCTTTATACAGAACTTCCCATTCCAATAATACAGAAGTATTATTAAGTAGCAGCCATATCTCCTGACTGACAAGTCTGAGTATGAAACAGGAAGAAAACTACAAATTGCTACAATCCAATTTATACCCTCTTGACATATCAGTCTATTTGGAAAGAATGGGCTAAATCTTGGGATAAAAAGTTCATTCATATATGCACATTTTTACCTTTGGCTGAAAGGATTCTGTTATAATGAAACACCATGTGATCTCTGATCAGGTACTGGCTAGTCAGACTTCGGGAGGAGTCAATGCAGAAAGCTGTAAGATTAAAATATATTTAAACATTATAAAGGCGGGCCCTAAAATGCTAAAATTTTAACGGCAATTCAAAGCCACAGACTAAAGTACCATGTGCTTAACTTCTTTGCTTAATGAACTAATTTTTCTTTAGCAGCTATCACATGGAATCAACTGGTCCCCTCTGTTTTGTTCCCACTGAGCCATTAACTCAAGAAATAGCTACAGAAGTGGCTGCAGTTGGACTATGAAAACATCAGCATGGAAATTTCCTCTTTCTCATTCTATGCTCTTTTGAAAAAAGCACCTGAGATGGCAGCATGGCACAGAAACATATACTAGCTCATGTAAAGTACTGACTGTAAAGGATTATGTTTAACCTCAAGGGTTCTTTAAAGCAGCTCATATAGATATGACATCTATATATATTTGGATATTTTGCTGTTTCCAGCTAGCAGTACAGTCAAGGCAAAACTCACTCCTTAAAAGTATTTTCAGTAATGCATACTAAATATAATTACTATTAAACTTCACCAACTGAGCTCAATGCAAAGGTTTTAATTATAAAAACATTTTAGTCATAAAAATCAATCAATTCACATAAAAGGAACCACATCAACCTTCTGATGAAAGCACATGTGTTACTTACCATTACTCTTAGTACTCAAGTGTCCTTTAAATGGACTTGCTGGACCACATCTGGGAATGCCAATGGCTGCATACTCACTCACTTTAATAAAGTGTCAAACAAAACAAAACAAATGTTAGAAAAAAGAAAATGTGGATTTTGACAGATAAGATAAAATAGAGAATCTTTTCCTAAAGAACTAACAAATGATTGTAGTGGACCTTTTACATAGAGGAAAAAAATTGTATTTAAACATTACATTACTGAAGTACAGCAGTGTAGTCAACTAACTTAGTCTAGACATTAAGATAAGATGCTAGTACTTTCACTGGTTCGGGGAGCTAAACAGCAAAAGAAACCATTAGATCACTGCAGTCTGAACTTTACATTGGTCATTAAACTGCAGTTTTGTACCTATGCTAACATCCCATTTGTTTTTATTGACTGAATTTTATCATTATGTCAAATGACTAACACAAAAATACTCTATGTAGACAATAATTGTGGTTAGAATTACACTAAAATGTAAGTTTAACAGATTGAAGGAATCATGCTTCTGTGAAAATCATCTTATCTATGAGAACACACTATTTCAAAAAATCTATTGTTAATGTAAGAGGAATTTGGTTTGCCAATTCAATCTTCTGGCAGTTTGATAGACTGGGAACTCTATAGACAAGTGCAGATGCTGGCAAAACTTAAATAACGAGTGCTGAAAAATGAAGGAATGTGAATTAAAAGCTCTACATCTCCCGCTTGAAAATAAATGCTGTACTGTAAGGCTCACAACCACTGTGTTATGCAGCCTACAATTTAAAAATCTGCACCATTACTACAAGTACTAGTGTATACAAAGCATGACTTTAAGGTTTCCAAGATCCTGCTTAAAATGTAAAGCAAAACGAACAAGATTTCTTTAACAGAGTAAAATATACCATGCTTACTTAAATTATAAAACCATGCAGCCAATTTCTACAGATTTATTATTACTATCAAGGTCCATATGGTCTTCTCATTTCCATCCTACTTCTCATCTGTCAGTTCAAGTGTCTGCAATTGCCACATAAGCGTTTCCTAGCAATGCAAGGCACTCCAGCTCTGGGGCAGCAACTTTACTGCTCTACACTTACTGGTCACCTCCAGCTCTCCAGCCTTCATTGGATGAAGCAGCTAGCTGAGCTACCTAAGATGAGTGGGAATCTCTTCTCAGTGGCCTTCAGCTGAGTCAACGAAGGCAGATGTAATTACAAACTGACTGGGGGGGGAGTGCAAGAAGCCAAGTCACACAAGTTAAAAGCCCCTTAATTACGCCTCTCATGACTTCTTAACTCCTGCATGCCCAGCACCTGGCTTTCCAGGCTTTTTTTTTTTTTTTTTCCTTCAATTTCCCACAGTCAGATAATGACTGTTAGAGTGCTACCGCAATTACATACCTAACTACTACATTCTGTAGCTCTACTTTAAGTGCAACAGCATGTTGCAAAAGATGCTTAACGCACTATTAATTAGTAGAAACTGCAGCAAAATAAATCATTCTTTTAATAATTTTTTAATTTAAGTTCCCCAGAGGCCTTATAAAAAGACCTTATAAATTTGAAGTGACTAGAATTAGTTGGGGAAGCAACAAAATGTGCCTTAAGAAAATAAATAACATTAAAAACATTAGCATAATGGTAATTTGCAGAGTACTTTATAGGGACCCTGTTGTGAAATTACTCTACAACTGGATCAATAAACTCAATCCCACTCTTATGAAGCCCAACAAATATGAAGGCAATTTTGATTTAGTATGAGGATTTCACACTTCAAAAAGCCAGCCTTTATATAGTATAGGCTTCTGCAGCTTTACAGTATTAAGAGGTGGTGTCTGCAATAATAGTGCTCCCACTACTCTTTTTTGGGAAGTTGCCAGACCAGCAGTATGAAAGGGAAAAGAAAAAAAAAAACAACCACAAAAAAACCATGCTACTGTAGATTCTTTGAATCCTGTCCTGCAATTGTTTTATCTTTATACTGTTTTCCTTGAAGTCAAAGGACAGCATTTCTGCTCATCTGTATCAATTTCAAATGGTTCATTTTAAATTCCCCTCATGATACAATTCTTCCTAATCTCTATTTGTAATTTAAACATACATAGGGACAAACAATGCTAAATTATTTTAAAAAATTTTAAAATTCCAAACATACAGCAAGAATTTATTAAATTTAGAATGACTGCCTTCGCAATGGTTTGAAACCTTAGTCAACAATGGCCTTCTTTCTTTTTTAAGTATTATATTTCTCTACCATGCACTATACATAGGAATAGTATTCAGTGTCTAGCTGGATACCCACCCTGAAACTCATGACTTCCTAAAGTTACAATGCTCACGTGTTTAAAGAATGCAAGTCTTCAGGAGGACTTGAATGTTAGATTATAAGATTTTAGTAGATAAAAGTTTTTCCTAATGATAACAAAAATAGTATACGCCAGAAATCTAGACTTTAGGAGAAACTTGAGAATCAGGTTTCATTCACAGTTGTTCAAAACAATCTAAATATTCCAGTAGTTTCTGTATTTCAGAGCTAAATTGTAATTCCAGAAGCAGACACAAACTGCTAGATAAACGCTTACAAGACCACCTCTAACTCATTTTTATGTGACAGAATCATAGGTAAGCACGGGCATCTCAAAAATGCAGAGGCACTGTTATAACTGCAGTTGATTCTCTTCAGATATGTTAAATGCCTTGGCCCTGAGTTAAAGATGATCAAAGACCTGTTGTTTTTACTGTCTTAAACTGGAGATATGCCTATTCAACACTACAGGAAAACAAGGCAGTTTTGAAGTGTTCGCTTGCTTTGCATCACCAGCAGGTGGCAGACGGATAAACTCTAAGGAGAGCACCACCGCGTCCTTTACAATTAATCTGTATTAGGCTGAAGGAGGGG